ACAGGAGTTTCTCAGCCTGGAGAAGAGAAGGCTCCAGAGAGACCTTACAGAACCTTCCAGAGCTCCAAGAGAGCTGGAGAGGGACTTTTCACAAGGGCATGGGACAAAGGGGAAAGGTTTCACACTAAAAGATTAGATATTAAGAAGGGGTTTTTGCATTGAAACTCATGAAATACAGGTTGCCCAGAGAGACAGCAGATGCCCCACCCCTGGAAGTGTTCAAGGTCAGGTTGGGAGAGACTTTGAACCACCTGATCTATCTGAATGTGTCCCTGCTTACTGCAGGGGGTTGCAATATATGACCTTTAAAGAGCCCTTCCAACCCAAACTATTCTGTGATGCTTCTAGGAAGTATATTGCTAGCCCCTACTTTGTCGGGATCTCTTGCTGCTCAGACTGATCCCGAGATAAGTTGGAAAGTCTCTTTTCCCAGCCCACTGCTTCATTTCTTGGTCTCAAGGTTGTTTATTGTTCCTTATCTACAAAAAAATTTCTCCTGTCCAGCTGAGGTCCATCCAGCAGGACAGACAGAGCCACTCTGCCTGCCCCCAGGGTGGTGTTGTGTCTTTATACTAAAAACTACCTGTACAATATTTACAATTACTTCCCTATACCTATCACCTATGTTAGACAGTGAGCTTCTACTCTAAACCAATCTAAAAGTGCCAACATCACAGCAGAAGATGGAGGCCAAGAAGAAGAAGGAGAAAGGCTGGACACACCCAGTTCCCTCCATCTTGCCTCCTGAACCCCCATACCAAAAACCCTGAAATCTACTTTTCCACCCCGTGATAACTTCACTATTATTCTACCTAAACTGTTGTGGCTTTCAGATCTTCATACAAGGTTGGTAATTTGCTCCACAGGTCATAATCAAAACCACAGGTGTTTTGGGCTCTGTGCCAGGGTCTCATGGCCCCTGGCAGGGGTCATGGCTGCTCAGGACAGAGGGATGTTCTGGGTCCTGACACAACTTTCTGGCAGTATTTCTATTTTTGGCAAGTCTATGTTGTTATTGTGAGAATTGAGGAGATCAGGTCTGTACCTGAGCTCACCCTGCCATTGTGCTCCTGCAAGGCTGCCCTCCTCCAGCACCACAGAGGGAACAAGGTGTGCCAGGCCAGAGCCATAAATCCCACTGGAGGAGTCTCACCTGTGAAATGAACTGGGTCACACATCCAGAGGAGGGAGTTTCTAACAAGAAGCCCAGTGAAGTTATTGTATTGCTACCCAGGAAGGACAGACAGGACAGAAACACAAGCTCATTTGAAGAGCCATCTTCACTTGTGCTGCACTGTTTGGATGAGCTGAACTGCAAGGGAAAAGAGTAATTAAAAAAAAAACAAGTAGGAATGAATGCAGAAAAAGAAATCTCTGAACAATTTTGGTGTACCCATTATTTGAATTGTCAAGATCCAGAACAGATGTGTTGACTCAGCTTTAACAATGTCAAAGTGCAGGTTCAGCTGTCCAAATGTAGGCAAGTTGTGCTCTCTGAGACAACCAGGATATGCTGCCTTGCCTCTGCTGGCCTCTCTGGAAGGGGACAGGTTTATCCTGGGTGCTGGGTTGGATCTGCCAGCCGTATGTTGATGTCATGAGGCCCTAAGTTACCTAGGATGGGCATCAGGTAGTTTTGTGTACAGAAGAAAATAGAGAAACTGGACAGAATCCATCCTCCAGGCTCCTTGAGCAGTAATGGAGAGGTGTGTGAGTCTGCAACACCCATCTGTAGAGGAATCTCCCTTCACAGGTACATTGCTCTTTCCAGACACTATTAAAAAATGCTTGAAAATTAACTTGCAATGGTAATATCCCCCTTGAAAAGCTAAAGACATTTCAGTTACTCTCTTCCTTAGTCATGCAAACATATCTCACTTTTGGGTCTTTGTAGACTCAGCTGGAAACAAAGAGCCCAGAAATGCCACACCACCAAATTCTGTCAGCCAGTGACTGCCTTGCTCTGGGACATTGCTGTGTTGGTAGCCTGGTCCCACTCAGCCTGGTCCACTGAAGGGACACAGAGCAGCAAGGTGAACAGCACATGGAAAAGGCTCTCAGACAGGCAGTGTTCCCAAAACCACCCATACCAGGGACTGCTCCTCCCTCACCACAAATTTTCTGGGGTATGAAATGTCACGAGAAAGGTCTGGTATTGTCTTTTTATCTTATTTTTGTTCACAGCCCCTGAGGGAGCATTAGCACTTTGCAATTGCTTTTGCCTGTTCTTCTGTCATCTGTGGATATTTCCATGACACACTTGCCCCGAGGCCATCAGACTCAGCTGCCAGCCCTGGGGGCATCTCCACCTGGCTGAACTAATGAGCAATGCAGGGAGGACATTTTCAGAGGACAAGAGGCTTGGATTTTACAGGGAAAGGGCGTGATCAGAAAACTGTAGCATTAGCCCCATTCCCAGGCTGGAAGTGCGTGCAGAAGGCAGCAGGAAGGCAGGGAAGAGCCCAGGGAGCACAGGCTGAGCTGTGGCCCTGCAGAGGGTGGCCAGCAAGTCTCTGTGGTTGTGCAGTTCTAAATCTTGGGTGCCTTCTATCAGCACCCCAGACCTTGTTTCAGCATAGACTGCGGTGACATCTGGGCCATGGGCAAGCAGCTCCTGATTTATGGCATTTCCTTCAGGAAGGGGCTCTCACTTTCCCTTCATCTGCATTTGTGAAGACTCTGAGGGAATGCATTCAGCAAGCAAGAGACACAGAGCTTTCCTAATGGTGTCAAGAAAGGATGTTTTCCAGATCCAATGAAGCTCCATGTTTATGTCTCTGAGGTAGGGAAAATGTGAATCCAAACCCTCACCCTTGCAGAGCAAGCTGAGAACTGAACCCAGACCACCAGCATGCCAGGAGAGTGCTCCATGGACTGGTGTGTTATGGCAAAAGTGGGTACCACCCCTAAACCACTGCAGCTGGAGAAGCCCAGACCTGCTGCTGTGGATAAATTAAGCTCCAAGGATACCTAACAAAACATCTCTGGAGATGCAGCAGCTCAGCAGGCTCAGGAATCCATTTGGACTGAATTTCTCCTGCAGAGCAGCCCCCTCTGGGCCTGTGTGGGAGAGATTCGATCTCTTGGGAAGCAGAACCAAGGTCCCTCCAGAGGATATTTGTGTTTAGCACAAGGAGCAGCCCAAGCAGAGCTGGGGTGCCTGGCAGCACAGTGCTGTACTCATTTCTGCACGTATCATGCTTCAAGCTCTGAAACCTCATTTCAATCTAGTCCCCAGCTATGGATCTCCTCCAGGTCCTGCCCTTCTGCTCCCTGTGCTGGACAGTGACACATTGCTGCATTCTTTATCCTGCACACTTTCTGCATTCCGCAGGAATTCACTACTGATACCAGAAGCAAAAATAAAGCTAACCAAAAATATCTGCCCCAAGAGGTATTTTGGCTTTCTAGGTGCAAACATATGGCTGAAATGAGTAAATAGGGAGATCTTCCAGCTGAGTTGTTCTCCTGTGTGTGCGTGCACATGTGCTTGTGTCTGCATTTTTACTTGAACTGTTGTCATCTTCACTAAATATTTTACTATGCTCAAAAGCTTGTCTTTAAAGGGCTTTCAGCAGTAGGGAGGAACACATGGATTTTTTATTCCTCTACTGCACTAAGAATAATTCACTTGTCAGATACCACACTGCTCTCCTGATCAGATGGTTCTGCAAATAGAGACAAACCACATCCTATGCACACAGAGAATCCCTGAGTCACCACTCTGCCTACTGATCCATCTTCTCCATGTTTGAGCCAGGACAAGCTGGGGCCTTGGACTGGCTCTGCTGCTCAAGGATTTATGCCATCAGGCACAGTTAGCACAATATAAAGGTTAGAGGTACAATTAACAAAGTATGGTTGGATTACTACAGTCCTTTGGCTGCAGTGGGACACAGCATGAAGCTTTTATTCTGTAGATATCTAAAGCCATAGGAGCTGAACCCTGGCCTCAGAGGCCCACAGACCTGACTTCTGGTGGAGTCCCCTCTCCTGTGATCTTTGAGACACCAATTCCCCACAGAGCTGGTGGGGCCAGGCTAGCTGGAGTCATGGGGATTGTGCTCCTCAGGACAAACTGAGGGCTAGGCATAGTCTAAGGTGAATGCCAAGCAGTACAGCCACACTTCGTGCCTTCCTTGCCATAAATGCCACGGAAGCCAACTCTGGCATGAAGCCTTGAAGTCCCTTCCCACCTTGTGTGCTTCACCAATACCACTGTGATAGCACAGCCAGAAAACAGGGGTGATGGTATGGACACATTCACATTTAGCAGCACTGCTGTCTTGGCTCACCCTGGCTGCTCTCATCTCTCCTCAGCCTCTAGCAGGATCAGGGAAGCTTGTTCTGTAGATCTCAGTGGGCACTGGATCAGACCCAGTGCACATTCTTGCACAGCAGCTGGTTTTGGCCCCAGGCTGGTTACATGTGGAATGGGCAGCATGATTTTCCTGTTTTTTAATGAAATGTCTGAGCATTATAATAAGTTCAACACAGAAAGTCTACGTATAATTCATATAATTTATATCTTGTTCTTTTTCATTCTTGGTGGTGGTAAGTATCTGGCCATGAATACAAGTTTGTTTCCAAGATGTGTCCCAAACCCCTTCTTCACATGAGTGTCCAGGATTTAAGAATGTAATTTTAAACAGATCAGTGGGATTCCCTTCTGCTGATTTTGGGGTGGGGGATGTGGGGAGGGGTTGCATCAGATCTTGCTGACAGCGAGAGGAAAAGCCCAGGGTGTGCTCACCCTCCTTGCCTGCTCCCGTGCATCTCCTCAGGGAGGATGCAGAGCACTCCCAGCTCCACGCAGGGCACTCCCAGCCCCATGCCCTGGCTCTCCCCATGCCCAGGAGCCTGCTGGGCTCTCCTGGCAGCGTGGCCTCTCCGCTGGGGCCCGGGGAGTGCAGCAGCCAATCGGGCAGCCCTCATCAATCTCCCTGAGTGTGCTCAGACTCTGCGAGGAACATCCTCACTCACCACTCCTCTTCCCTCTCTGCAATGACCTGAACTCAGCTCTGCAAGCAGTGAGGCATAATGCAATGCAGGGCAGCCCGGAATAATCTGGTTGGCATCCAAGGATGTATATTCACTGAGAGGCTGGGGAGTGTGTCAGCATTTAGTTGCAGTCTAGCTGCACTTTTCCTGCAGCACAGAATCACAAAGTCTCCGTCTCCTCCTCTGGATTGGGACTGATTCTGCACCGGGATCCTCTGAAAAGACAAAGTTTTCCTCTCTTGTTATTGCTGTGCCACCACAATCTACCAAGATGTGTGACTGCTTTCATCTAGTTCTTCCTAACTGGCAAGGATCTCCAGCCAGTGGTGGGCTTACGTTTTCTATACTTTTCTGTATTCTGCTTCTGCTTCCCTGCGCTCCGCTCGCTGCGGCTCAGCCTCCCCGGCAAGCCCTGCAGCTGCTGGGGTGTGGCTTTCCCTGATGCTGCATGAATCAGATAAGGAAAAATAGAGTTAAGAAAAGCCTGTCCTTACCTCCTCTAAACTTTCCTGCACATGTCGAAGCTATGCTTAAAGAAGCCTTTGACTTTGTAAACAAATTAAATTCAAGCTGTGTCTAAATGACCTTTTTTTCGGGTTGCATGCCTTAATTCACGAGCTTGCCCTTCATTTCTCAGAGTAGCAGGATTCCTGCATGATCCACCCGGCATTTACAATGGCTAAGGCTGTGCTGTGCAGTGTATGTTTGCAAATTCAACGTGTCCTGTGCTCTGTATTTGGTCTGTTGGTTGGACAACACGGCACTCTGGAAGATGGGATTGTTTTCCTGGGTTTCCCTGCAGAGCAGGGGAAAATTAGCAATTTAATTTTTTTTTTAAAGGGGAAAAGATACACATTTTAATATAAAATATTGCTGAAGCAGAACAGTGGTGACTGGAGGAATGAGTCTAAAGAGTAATGCAAAACAGTGCTTAGCTGGCAGAAGAGTATCAATAAATTACAAATCTTCTCTTTAGTTTATGCAGAGATTGACCTGTTTTAAAACAAGCAACTTGTAGTCTTAAAGTTGTGCCTACAAAAATGGCAGGAATCTGAAATTTCTACAGTATCTTTTTCTCCCTAAAATATACAAAAACTATGTTTATCTTCATTCTGCAATAAATTTCCTCGCTATTTATTCTGGTAGAAGTTATAATCTACAAAACACAGTCTGTAAGATTTTGATCGTCTAAAAGCAGAGCACTTTTTTCTTTCTTTAAATGTCTGATTATTTCTGTTCTCTTTTGTAAATAGTTTAGGATTATATTTTCCGTAACAATGGAAAGTCAGAAATTTCTTGTCAGACTCTGAGTCCTGTTATTGCCTAAGTTGACTTGTTGGAATCAAGGAGACAACTCAAGGAATAACTCATATCTCTCCACCCAACAAGAGATACTTTCTGACTCTCTGCTGGTTACCTGGTGATTAGGTAAACCAACTGAATCACTATAAGGTTATAGCAAATATTTTAGGACTACACTCTGACAGCATTTAAATATGATTTATTCAAAATATATTTGACATAGTTCTGGTGAAAATATTATTATAAATGTGACTTTTCCAGCAGTAGTATTTTCCTAATGTTTGTCTGCCTGCACAGATTTACTTGTTTAGCAAACAAACTAGTTTTGTGGTTCTTACTACTTTTTCTGTTTACCACATCAGAGACATTCTTGGGACTTCTAGGTGCTACCTAATAGAAACAAATACAACCAAAGCACTAACAGAGCACTCCACCAAGCCAGGCTTTCCTCACCAATTAATGTTTGGGTTGTTTGTTTTCAGGCTTTTTTTTTTGGCTAAGGAAATAAAATTCCCCCATGCCTTGAACCTGGGTTGTTACTTCCATGGTGGCAGTTTTCTGATGGTGTGAAAGGATTCTGTTGGTGTGTAAGAGCAGCATCTCCTGCACGGGGTCGTACCACGGCACCAACCAGCTCCTGGTGCCCGGGAGGTGCCAAGCAGGATCAGGGCCATGGCACCTACAACAAGATCTGTGCAGGGAAGGGATGCAGCAGGGAAAGGTGGCTGGATGTGAAATCTGACAGGCATCTGCTTTCCAAACAGCTATTGCTGATGTTTCCCGACAATGGGTTATCGACAATGGGTTATCGTCCGCGGAGCTCAGGGCGTGGCGGGGAGAAGCAGCTCTGTTTGTCTCAGACAGGTAGGCTGGCTGGCTGCCCAGGCATGTGATACGGGCTTGAGAAAGAAGAATCAGCGTGGTGATGAGGCAGGATCATCTGAGCAAGGGTGGGAAAAACCACACCATGAATCCCACATCAAGCAGAGCGTATTAAATGCCTCGTTTCCTCCCCAGCATGGAAGGGAGGCTGGCTAAAAATAGGCTGGTTTTGTAAGCTCCTGTCTCTGCCGGCTGTATTCACTGCTCCTCCTTTAGCTGACTGTCATGATGACACAGGTGAGAAACATATAAACAAAATTTGCCAGTTTTCTTTATTAGCCAGGCAAGAACAGGCATGCACTTGGATCTGACATCTGGAGGAGGCTGGGAGCGTCTTGCTATTGTTGATGAACATGGATAATTTTTGAGTCAGAACAACAAATAAGTAGGAGAAGAGAACATCTCTATCAGCAAACCGTGGCAATTGGCCAAATCCTAAAATATAGGTCCTTCTGGCACAAATGTTTTCTAAACCTTTTCTTCACCTTGTTTTGGGGCATGATCTAAATCCCCAGGAACTAATGGCTGTGAAAGACTCCATTCACTAAGACACTGGAGCAAGTGTGTATGGTTTCCTAATTGCCACCAGATTGGAGCAAGGGTCAAAATAAAACACGTACCTTAGTCCTTTGCTGAATGGACACCTGGACCCCAAGACTGCTGCTTCTCAGGTGCCATGCTGATCTTTGCACGGTGTGGGAATAACACAGCTGAGATCCTGAGATCAGCTGGAGCTGTAGAAGTCCCTGGTCAGGGCTCCACTGCAAGCTGTGACATCCAGAGAAACACTACAAGTACAGTGACATCCCTTCTCCTCTGTTCTTGTCTGCCATGCCAAAGGCTGCGTGTCCATTCCACCATATGAGCTGCTGAATATGGTCCACAGATTTTGAGGATCTAAACCAAAATGCCAGCTCAGTTGCACTTTTTCTTAGAAATATTTTCTCAAAATGTTTGACTATGAGCTGCAACAGCATCTATTCCAGCCCCATCAAGAGACAGAGATAAAAAAAACCCTGTAGGAGCCAGACTCCCAGCTTGGGTGAGGAACACCCACCCTGGCTCTCAGGAGAAGCTCTGACCTGACACACCAGCCTATTTAATTTTCCCCCCTTTTACTTCATTCAGTGAGTACATTGTTAGAATGAGGAGCAGTTTCAGTTTCAGCAGACACTCACTCTCTACACAGTAATGCTTCCCAATATCTACTCTTGTTCTACCCATGGTGACGCCAAAATAACTGTGGTGCCAGCACAGACTGAAAGGGAATCTGATTCATCTGGCTCTGGCAGAGAGCTCCCTGCCAGCATCATGAATCAGGCTCAGTAAATTGCATCCCTCTGGCTTCTCTCGGTCCTCCCTCCCTCCTGACTCATCTTCTTCCCTCCAGAGTTTATATTTTTAGTTATTAGTTTCACACTTCTATTTCCAATGGCTACGCATGGGCTCGTTGGTGACTTATGAGCACAAGTGGAAAAGAAACATCGGCATGACAGAGCCCCACAGGCAACAAGGCTTTCTTTGTCCATGCCCTGTGCAATGAAGGGTTTGCTGTTCTCCATCAAGCTGCAAGAAATGGGGATGGTATGTACCCGCCAGAGGCACAGCACATTGTGTTTGCCACAGCTCCTGATTCATGTGAGGAACGGACATACCCCAGCAGCAAACCAAAACCAGCTGAAAAATGTTGATTTTTCTTTGCTGCTGCATTTCAAAACTTAAAGAAGGAAGATCAACAGACATCTCAAGTCTGCTTTGGTAGTGTCCTCCTCCCTGGGCACCAAAGCATGGTGCATTTCACCCAGCAGTTTGGGCACCATCTGTTTCTGTCCAAGGCTCCGGGCTGCAGCAGCCTCTTTTGCAGGGCTCTTGTTACTGTGTGAGAGGTGGAAGAATGTGAGCAAAGGCCGAGGAGAGCCCCCACGAGCCAGGGCCTCCAGAGCTGCTGCTATTGCTCCGTGTTCTGCCACCACCAGAGATAAATGACACCCTTGGTTTGAGGTGGGGGCTCGCTGCCAAGACAAACACTCAAACAATCAGCCAGGCTGGGCTTGTCTGCACAGAGGAGTGGCTGCAGAACGGCTCTGCATCCAAGCTTGCAGCACGCATGGTCACCAGTGCCAGTGCCCTGTGCAGATGGACCTTGTGTTTTCCTCCTTTCCGTGTTTCCCATGGCACAGGGCACTGCACCCTTGTCCCAGCCACAATGCCATCCCCAGCACATCTGTCCTGCAGTGTCTGCCAGAGCAGCCACCAGGGGTAACCTGGGTGTGTGGGGTGCCTGGGGCTGCATTACTGAGCAGTGGGATATCCCCATGGGGTTTTGGCTGGCAGTGAGGCTGCAGGAGGGTTATGTTTTATTTTCTCCCTGGTCTGAGAGCACACCTTTGGGGTTGATGTGGCAGTGCAGGGGGTGCAGAGAAGGGATAATAAGGTTAATCAGGACCTCCTAGAGCCAGTCTGATGTGTAAGAAAAGGCACATGAGCTGGTATTCTATTCTGCAGGAGGGAGCTTTCTCCATCCTGGCCAGCCCACACTTGAGTGCATTCACTGTAGGAAACTCAGGGCCCCAAACTCTCAAACACCAAAGGAATAACTATTTCTCAAGGATACACCCCTGCCTTTATGGCAACACAGACAATTACATAACTGTGTCCAGTCATGAGACACAGATGAGTTTGAAAATGCCAATAAGATTCCAATTTTTCTAGCCTTAAGCCTCTGTACTTATTAGTAGTAGATGTTACAACTAAATAGTAGTGTCTGTGTACCAAAACTTGCTGGCATAATATTTTGTGTTGAAGTATCTTGAGGGCCATGAGAGTTGCACAAGTGTAACCTTTCATTCCTGTTTCTGCAGCAGTTTGTTCCCCTGCTAACCCTGCCAGCCCTGTGCTCGCACAGAGCCTCACCACGAGGACAGCAGCCAGGTCTGAGGTTGCACTAATTAGTCCTGGCTGGGCTTCCAGTTTTCTTTAGTACATATTACCATTAGATTTCTATCAGTGTATCTTCCTCTGTCAGAACAGGCTGTACAAAAAAAAGAAAAAAAAAATCTATCTAGTTGTTAGAATTACTGTGGGAGAAATATTAGTAAATTAATGTTAGCAAATTAATTGTAAATTACACAGGTGCATTACA